CTTTTTAACACAAGAGTTCACCTACTTCACGTCTTCATCCGAATCTCCACCAATATCAATTTTTAATTAAATAATGCAATATGAATGTGAAATCTAAAGTTGTTAAAAAAATATTAATTTGATAATTATATATGTACCAAATTAATAACAAATAAATAAGTTTTAAAATATATTTATAATTTAAAGTTAATTTATAATTTTTTAAAAGGTCTAATACGCATGAATAAAGTCCAAAGTTACATGGATTTTTTCGAGCCATCATAAATTTTCATTTAATTATTACTTTTTTTTTATAACATTAAAATTCTGCATAATCTGGCGAAGGTTTATAGGGCGGTATCAGTCGTCGCCGGCACCTCTCTCCGGCGAGGACCGCGAGACTAAAATGACTTTTTTAACATAGTGCCATTTTTAGGGCTGATTACAGATGGCATAAATTTGCCGCCGATTGTTTGAGGAAATAAGAGTGGACTATTTTTGGATACCGCCGATCGCGGCGGCTACTGGTGGCCTTTCTCCACCACAGTGAGAAAGGGCGTGGGGAAAGAAGCGACTTTTAGAGCATCTTCAATGGTTTATGGATTGCTTCTTTTTATTGCCATGTGGCATAGTTAATCTTATGTGGCACTCAAAATGTCTAGAAGTCTTTCTATGTCTAGAAGTACTTCTAGACATCCTCTATTATATTTTTTATTATTATTTAAATATATATATCATCCTCAACCAATTATGATGTTACACATGTCAAATTATACTAAATGGACATTCACCATTGGAGATAAAATTTTGTAGTTCTCTTTCTCCATGTTATACATTTCCAAATGGACTATATACCATTGGAGATGCTCTTAAGAATCTTTGACTTTTCTCCGTATTTTTTTTTCTTTTTTTTTTGTAATTTTCCATTTTTCTTTTTTGCTTAAAGAATGTTTATAAAACTAATAAAAGTAAATTAGACTTTATTTTTTGTGGAAAGATATCATATTACATTAATTTTAGCATTTATGTGGAATAATGATTATTTTCTTAGGTAAAAAATAATGAAAACGAGTTGAATTTGAATTTTGATACATGAATTCAACCTGGAGCTTTTATTGTAAATAACAAATTGATAAATTAAGTTTGAGTTTAACTTGTTTATCGAACTATACAAAATTTGTTTTTTCGCTTTTTTTTTATGGTGTTAGTTATGACAAAAAACGTTATATATTAACTGCGTAAAAAATATTCAATTTTTTTAAGTATATTCATACATAATAGTTGTTAAAATTACTAATTATGTTTTTTCATTAATTTTTTATTACAACTTTTTCTTAAATCATTAATTTAATATTTAATATTATTTTTTTTTTTCATATCTCTTAAAGCAATTATATTTTTAAGTAAACTAACTTTTATACTTGTATAAACGAATTGTTACACTAGCAGATTAATATATTTCAGCTAATTAATTAATACTCATCCCTTAAAATTATAGTATTCATTACATTTTCCTTTTCAATTAATATAGTAATTTAGGGATAGTTTGATATTGTTTATTTTCATTAATTTTAAAAATTTTAAAATACAATATCATTATATAAATTAAAATTTTAATATTATATACATATAATCGAATTACATGTTATAATAATAATAATAATAATAATAATAATAATAATAATAATAATAATAACAATAATAATAATAACAATAATAATAATAATAGGAAATGCTACGGTCCTGTTACGATATCTTCGTAACATTCTGTCGGGTGTTTTAACCGTTGGATCATTTATCTTATCTAACTACATGTGAATCTAACGGTGAAAATACCCGACGGGATGGTACCGCAAGGGGACCGTAGCATTTTTCAATAATAATAATAATAGCAATTTGCCAATTACGTCACAAACCTCGAAGAGAGCCCCTATAAATGTCACTCCCTGCACGCTACAATTTCCACAATATCGATTGTTCTATTTTTCTTGGAAGAGAAATCCTGAAGAAAAAAATGTCTTTGCTTTCAGATCTCATCAGCCTCGACCTCACAGAGACCACTCCAAAGATCATCGCCGAATATGTTTGGTGAGTTTCTATCGTACTCTGTTTCTAATGTAATCTGGATTTTTTTTTTTTTTTTTAATTTTCTGAAAACAATAAACTGCCTGATCTTAAACCAGGTTTCATAAACGGTTTGATCTGTTGATTTTAATACTGTCTGTGCTTATTTGATTGCTCGTTTTCGGATTTATGTTGACGAATTATGTTATTTTTTTGATCTCTTATTTTTATTTTTATGCTATCAGATTGTAAATCGTAATCAACACACCCACACACACAGATACAAATGTTTGTGGGATTCTGATTTTTTTGAGTATGTTTGTGTGTGTATTTGCATAGCTTGGTATCTCTAATTTATCAGCTGATGCTGATCTGAAATGCAAATATTTAAATCTGTTAATTTGCAATCAAT